TCTGAAATTTCAGAATGATATCCTTCAGAGTGGATCACTTTTCATTGATTTTGTGGGTACTTCCGTCAACTTTTTCAATCTGGAAAATTCTCACTTCTGGGAAATTTTATTGAATTATTCAGTCAATAATTTCCCCTCAATTTTCTGTTTCCTCTTTCTGGTACTCCTGTTATTCAGATGTTGAACATGATTTTATTATTTTTCATCTGTCTTTTTAATTTGAAAGGATTATTACTAATTTTCATCTTCTACCTCTTCGTTTTGTTAAAAAGATTTTTGCTGTAATATTTTTAACTTCTAGGATTTTTTTTTTTAACACTGCACACTCCTTTTATATAGCACCCCATTCTTATTTCATGGATGGAATGTTTGATTACTTTGAGGAGACAAATGATATCTGTAACAGCCCTATTCTGAAAATGGTGTTCTTGCCCTCAGTTGAAGCTGGTGTCCTTCAGTTTAGAATAGCTCTGGTAAATCTTAACGGACAAAACTTCCATTCCTCTTTTGTAAAAGAGACAGTCTAACTGTTTTGTAAAAAGATTTCAGCCAGTTTCCTAGTTGAGTCTTACCTTCGCGTCAACTTTCAGTGGTACTTGGTATTCCCAAACTCCAAGCCATGACAGAAACGAATTGGTTGCTTCTTGGTTTCACTCCTCTGCTGCTTAGAATTCCGCTTTCTTGGGTATAATTATACACTCACTGCCCTTCCATTTGCTTTCCTCTTTCCAAAAATTTTCCTGGTGTTTTTCTAGCCTTCTATTTGTCCTATGAGTTTATGTCATTTTTGTAAATGAGTTTATGTCCTATGAGTTTAATGTCATTTTGTATGTCATTTGTGGTTGAATCTACCATCGCTAATCAAAAGCCTGCTACGTTTCTGTAAAGTTAGAATAGATCAATATTATCATTGAAAAGGATTTTAGGAAGTTATCCATAGTTTATATACTTGTTAAGTACACTATAAATTAGTGAATGACCCTTAAATAGTAATTTCTATCAAAATAAAATAAATAAAATTTCTGACAGCCTACTTTTATTAATGGGTTAGCATAATTAAGATAGGCTGTTTGGTAGCTCTGAAGGATAATTTCTTCTGCCTTTTTTTTTTAAGTGGGAAAAATGAGGATGAACAATTTCCAGTTACCTCAGCATGAAGCCTTTAATGATGAAGGTATTTCAATAGTCACATAAGATAAAAGTTTGAATTCTATTATATGATAGTTTATAATAGTATAATGACCTTACATTTGATTAGCATTTTGTAGTTTATGAAGTACTACCTTAGATGTTTTTTCGTTTGATCCTCGAAACCCTGTGAGGAGGGTGAAATTATCCTCATTTTACAAATGAGTAAACTGGGACCTGAAGTGGTGAGGAATCTTTTTTAGGGCAGACAGATCATAAGTGATTGTACCTAGGTCAGTACTACTTCTGTTTTTAACCACCCTGTCTAGCTCGGGCCTTGGGAATTTGGCCTAGCATTACATCTGTCATTTTTTTCACATGTCTGTATATTTTTGTCATTTCTCAATTCTCAAAACAATATGTGATTAGGGAAAATGGACTTTTTTCTCCTGTATAGTTTTTATTCTGACAAATTAATTTTCTTCTAATAGTAGCAGGAGGAATTTTGAATTCTTGATGTGAATAATTGAAATCACTGTTTTAATTCATTCTTAGATGTATGGAACTACTGAATTTATAAATTTTGAATTAGAAAGTAAATTTGAATTTAATATTTTATATTAGAAGTTCACATACATTAAAAGTTTTCTCTCCTGTTAGCAAGTTGAGGACTTTTCATCAGAATTCAGTGAGCTGGAAATGAAGTTGTTATGTTTTGAAATGGAAATATCTGGCAACTTTGAATCCAGTTGTTTTCTTTTTAATGGAAGAACAAAGTTTATAAATAACGTTGTAATAGATTATTAGGTTAGATAGATTCCTCATTTTGCTTATTCAGAATGAGGAATTTCAGAAGTAATGAAGGGGTAGCACATTAAAGTCAAACATTATTTCTACATTTAGTGAGATTATTTCAGAAATGTGATGGCAACACCATGTTAAAGTATGGCATTTGGTTTTTAAAAAGTTTAGAAAAGCTTTTCACTCAGAGCAGCTGTGCTTTT